TATTTCTCTATCTCTGTCACTTCATTTCAGTGATTTTCAACAAGTGTGCCACAAACATTTTTAAAACATGCAGTACCTGACTATTTAGTCAGGGGCACTGGCCTCTTTTCCCTAAGACTGTCAAATAAAAATAAAAAATTACAACAGCCGCCCTGGCCCGTTTGGCTCAGCGGTTAGAGCGTCAACCTGCGGTCCTGAGAGACCCGGGTTCGGTTCCCGCTAAGGGCACGTACCTCGGTTGCAGTTTGTCCCCGGCCCTGGTCGGTCGTGCGGGTGGCAGCCACTCAATGTGTTCCTTTCACATCGATGTTTCTCTCTCTCTCTCTGTTCCTCTCTCCCCCTCCCACTCTACCTGAACAAAAAAATGGGAAAATGTCCTCGGGTGAGGATAAAAAAATAAATAAATAAATAAATAAAATGACAACAGCCAACACACCAATAGCCATCCAGTGTGAATGACTTAAAGTATACCTATTTTTGGGGTCAGATCAGCAAAAAATATCATTTTGGGGGTCCTGCAGGGTTTTAGTAATTAGTTTGTGTGTGCCACGCGATGGAAAAAGGTTGAAAATCGTTTGTTTGTTTTTTAAAAGAGAAAATGTGTCAATAACACCAATTCTAATCAAATTCTTCGCAGACTAGAGCTTTGACAAATCTTTGTTCGCCACCGATTTTCTGGGCAGGGCAAGTCTATACTGGAAACAGAGGAGTAAGGACAACCCAGCTGAGTCCTGAGAGGGGAAGCTGGCTCACAGGGGCTGAACAGTTCCGGTGTCCACTCTGATCAGGGCATCTCCGCCCAACTGCCTGTGCCCACACTGCCCCCTGTTGGCTCCTCTTTCCTCTCCTCTGCTTCCCTAACAAGCACATTTTCTTTCTAGAGGTGACCCAGCTGGGATACTGGTTCCCTAACCCAGAAAAACAAAAAGTAGGGCAACACCTGGCTCCAGCGGCAGAGCAAGGACTCGAGAGCAGATGCTCAGGAAGCGTCCAGCTCCTTGATGACATGACTTGGGCGTCTCAGATCAGCTTCCAGATCACAGTAGAGTTGTGTCCCCTGCCGGCTCCAACAAACTGGCTTGTCTGCCTTCTTCTGGAAACTCTCAGTCCTCCCGAGTGGAGGGGGAGGGGCTTCACAGGGGCGCAGACTAACGCAGTTGACTTGTGACCTGCCCTTCATTGCTCTTTAATGTAACCCTACCACTGGCCAAGTCACTGACATATTGTCGCCATATAATTTTATCTTAGGAAATGTTTTATGTTTGTTTTTTTTAATCCTCACCCAAGGACATTTTTGCATTTATCTTCAGATAGGGCAGAAGGGAGAGAGGAAGAGAGAGAGAGAAACATCGACGTGAGAGAGACACATGGACTGGCTGCCACCCACAAGACCCACCTGGGGCGGGAACAAACTGCAACCGAGGTACATGCCCTTAGTGGGAACCGAACCGGGGTCTCTCTGGTCCACAGGCCGATGCTCTAACTGCTGAGCCAAACCGGCCAGGGCCATCTTAGGGAAAGTTTTTTTGAGAAAGCCAGAAGGTAGATGTTATTAGCACACATAGCGCCGGGGTTGTTTCTGAGCCTGATGCCACTTTCTCTGGCAGTTTCTCTCACTTACAAAGACACCTTCGCCGCCTTGGGGCAAACGTGTTTTATCATCCGGGCTCTGTGTCAGTGTAATTCTGTAAGGATTGGCCTCCAGTGGGCAGCCTACACTGAAAAGACACGTTCAGGTGAGAAGTTAGCGGGGACACATTACCGGAGAACTCTTCTTGAGAATTCTCTGACAGAAATTACAGATTCACTGTGACTAGACCACTCCACCACACGCAGGTAACGCCCACGGAGGGTCACTCAGCTGCTGCCGCCCGGACCGCGAAGGAAGCCACGCAGCCAGCCCTGGGAAGAGAAGGGTGTTTCTACCCAGATGTGAGTGGTATTCCCCAGCACTGCTGCACACAAATGTACCCCAAAATACAGTTTTAAATTGTTATTTTTAAAATAGTGCTTTTTGTACTGTACTATTTTACAGTTACTATATAATAGCAGACTTTGAAACACAAATTTCATCTATTAAAAATCACGTGAAGTCCAGCCGGTGTGGCTTGCTGGTCGAGCATCGACCCATGCACCAAGAGGTCGCCGGTTTGATTCCCGGTCAGGACACATGCCCAGGTTGTGGGCCAGATCCCCAGTGGGGGGCATGCTGGAGGCAGCCAATCAGTGTTCTCTCTCACTGATGTTTCTACCTCTCTCCCCCTCTCACTTTCTCTCTCTAAAATCAATAAAGGAAAAAAAAATTAAAAAAATAACCACATGAAGGTAAAAACAATTACAAATGAGTACACCCGATAAACCACACTTCCCATTATCAAAATAATGACTATTCAGATGCAAACATCAGGTATTAATACTTGGTATTCCAGGACTTAGGAACTTTTCTTCTGGAGACTTCAAGTTATTTGACAATACTAATTACTGAAATTTCACTATAGCTCTATGAAATGGATTCTTTAAAGACTAAAAAAAAAACATACTTATGCATCTTAATTCAGTTTGCAAATCAAGCTAAGGAACCAAAGAGTACGTCCAGATTTCTAAGCTTATACCTGTAATTCAACCAATAGAGCGGCTCTGCCTTCAAATCAGTTTGAAGAGTGAATACATGTACATTCCACATCTCCGGGGCTAAGCACGCAGCTGTTCCATGTTTCTCCCATGATCCGACCACACTCTCCTCACCGGACAGGCTGATGCAGAGGCGGGAATCTGGCAGCTGGGTCTAACACCGCCCGGCCGCCGACTGGCCGTTTGTTAGCGTCACATCTCGTTTCCTCACACTCATAGGAGCTGATAACATCTACCCAATAGGGGTGTCGTGAGAAACGGGTTTAAAGGAGGTAATGGATATAAAATGCACAGTGCGTGCGAAGGCCGCATCAGCACCCTGGCTCGGCGCCCCCTGCAGGTCACACACAGGACTCTAGCTTCACCGCCTGGAAACGGCCCTGAAATACCATCCCATTCCGTTCAAAGCAAAAGGACCTCAGGATGCAGGGGATGAAGCAGATTTGTAAAGCTCCAAACGGCAAGTCAGAGGCTCCCATGCTTGGGTCCAGCTGTCTCCCCTTCCACCTGCGCAGTAGTAGTGAATTAAGAGACGGACTTTCTTTTCCAACTTTGCACAGCAGGGGACAAAATCCTCCTAGTGAATCTTCTTATCTGTCTTCTTTATCCCGCTCTCCAAATGAAAGCTGCAAGTGTGCCCTTGGGTACAGCCTGGCAGAGTCCACCCAGGTGGCAGCAACCCTCGACCAGGAGGAAGGAGACCCCAAGTGGCCAGTGCTCGCCTCTCCCCGTGACCTTCTCCAGAAGAAACCGAGCCGTGGTCTCCCACCCTGGGACCCGGAGACGGGTACAAGGGAACGCAGGAGCCGACTCCCTGACGGCATCCGATGCAGACAATTACGAATTCCTCAGGGACTTTCCTGAGCTTTCACACTTCGCCATCTACAACACTCAGCACCGCTCAGAAGCAGAGCCACCAGGAGGCGCAGTGAGCCACGCGCACCTGGCCGCCGGCTGCGTGCGCCCCCCCCCCCCCCAGCTCCAGAAGAAGGCTCTCCTCCCCTGCTCGGGAGGCCAGTCCCTTTGTGGCCTGCACAGCCACTACACTGACTTCCACCGATGGCTGGTCCGTTAGGTGTCGTGGATCAAGGACGCCCCACAGCCCCGTGCTGAGGCTGGCGTGGGGGTGAGGAGCACTCGGATTTGTCGGAAACCCGCCACATCCCCATCGTGCTTAAAAAGGACTGGATTTTCGGTTCTAATATTCAGCTGAAAATAATGCTTGGAATCACGTTTCAAAAAATTGTAGCTTTGGGGAGAAAAGAAGCATACAAATGGAAAACATCAAATTATTTGTTACTATCCTGACAGCTGAGTAGGCATGGGTATTGCCAAGCTTGCCGTGAGCGAGCGGAGATCCCATCTGAGGGCCTCTTACTGTTCCAGTTCATTGTTTTGCTCTATTGAAGCGGTGTGATAATCACCGAGTCTGTGACACTACTCCGGGTTATTTCCCACTGGCGTGGTCTCAAAATAATCACCTCCTCGGGAATCACGTCTGCCTCATACACATTCATCTGGGGCTTCACCACCAGCCAGTCTCTAAGATCTGACACTGACAAGTCACAGAAATGAAGCAATCCAATTTAAGCCAGGGTGATTCTTTTCAATAGACGGTTTGGCCATTTTGATCAAACTTCTGGAAGATACAAAGGAATGGCTACAAAGTAACCCAGCCACATTTCCCTGGTGGTGAGACAGCTGAGAGCCTGAGAGAGAGACGCAGACAGGCAGACGCTGGAGCAAAACCAAGACACCAGAGTCTCCATGGCGGTGACAGAATGCCAATCCAGAGCTTTTTTTAAAGCACTGAATATAGAAATGGCTTTTAACTCTCACCTGAGATTTCTGGCTTGATCATCAGCATTTCTGCCTTGGAAACTCATCTATTAAACCACCATATCCAAGACCTCACGAGGCAACAGAGCGGAGGGCAGGGCACAGCCTGCCTGTCCTGATGCCTGGAGTCCCAGGCTGCCATGGCCGGGCCAGTCTGCTCCTCTGATTACCCGTCAGCTTGTGGGACTGGATTGTAGAGAATTCCAGCACCAGCTCAAACCAGCTTGAAAAGTAGGAAGAGGACTCCTCACGTTGGGCAACGCTGTGGTTTCTAAGCAGTTAGCAACGAACCCCCAGCCTGTGCAAAGACCGGGCCAGAGCTTGAAGCAACGGGACTCTGAGAGCTTCCTCATCTGACATCTGTTTTCTGCAACCAGAACTCAGGTGGCAGCGAGGAGTTAGAGGGAAGGAAGGTGAACCACGGGGGAGGAGGGACGCTCTGGAAGCTGAACAAACAGAACAAGGTCGGAGGCGACAACAAGCAGAAGAATGAAAAGGAGAGAAAGCGGAATGGGGGCTGGAGCACATACCTTCAGTTTCCTCCTCACTCCCATTCTGCTGACAGATATATTTTTGGTTGCCCTGTTCTTCATGCTGCTATCAAGGACAGCAGGAGGCTGGGTTACACCACTACCAATCCAGCCTTTGCTCTCAGCAGTTAGAAGGCGTTTCACGCGGTGAACACGCCATACGTGAGCCTGTGTGATGCGTCCGTGGGCAGTTTCTCCCCGACCTGTCCTCCCTCGGCCGCCTAGCCCCAAACAGAGTGGCACACGGGTCTACTCCGAGCTGAGGCCAGAGAGGAAATTGCAATATGACGCAGAACAATTTCTCATAACTTTTTCTTTTTTTTTTTTTTTAAGTCAAAGCAGCCACACTGTGGGGCTGGGGCCTTATGAAAAAGTGAGACTCTGCTATGAGTAAATGAAGGGCATTAAAAAGAAAAAGAAAAAAACCCACCGAGGCTCAAATGCATCTTCATTCCCCCAGTTTCCATGTGACTACAAGCTCTAAGTCCACGAGAGACTGGAAGAAGGCATCAACGTGACTGTCCCAGACCTCGTGGCGTGGCGAACACCGGCTGCCTTTGAGAAGATGTGTATGAACCAATGAAAGACAGCGGACGCTAACCACACCAACCCCCGTGCTGGGTACAGTGTTAAAGATAAGACAGAACAGTGGCCAACCAAAATCAGATTGTACTTGTGGCTGTTATTCCTTCAAAACCAAAGGGAAGCAGCCACCTGACTGAGTTCCCTGGCTGACGGGACAGTGGCCAAGGTGAAGGGCCCCTCTCTGTGCCATCAGAAGATAAGCACAAACCACCCCCGAACTGAGCACAGACGCTGGCCCCAGGCTATCCGACAGCTGTTTATTTTGCCAAAGGGAGTTCTATAACATTTTGCTTTGCCATCAAAATTTAAATTCATGTCTCCCCCACAAATCGCTCTTTCTTACTAATTACAGAAAATAAAACCTGTTAAAATGCTAAAACACCAATGTTACGATTGGTGTTTAACAATCTAGGGATGGCTAACCACCACCATTAATACTGTCTCCTCTGGTCTCAACCTAATATTTCTTGCCATGTGAGGAAGGGTTATTTATTTAATGCTCCTCAATGTCTCTTAGCATGTCACAAAAAAACATAAAGCATTAATAGCCAATCCCACCCAAACAATTAGATTTGATAAAAAACAAAGGACAAAATGCCACTTGACTAAACCAACACTGTGCTTCTCAAATTGCAGGTCATTGATTCTGTCGGGTCAATACTATGACCTCAAGATAGAACCTGGACTAGTCAGATGTCTACTCAAAGTCAGAATTATGAACCTCGAGCTCCTCGATTCCTAAGGAGGAAATCCGTGGATAAATATCCCAAGACTGGTGAAACCTTGGTGCTGTCGCCCACTTTTCACGCATGTGTGTGAGCCATTTCCCGAGGGTCCTAGCCTCCATCAGATCCCCAACGGTTCTGCTCTGAGTAATTTCCTGGACCAGGTGAGAGAGTGAAAGACCAGAGAGAACCTCACCATCCTCACCTTTGCTTACTGTGACCTGAAACCTCCGTCAGCCTTAGGTTTCCACTTCAACCGCTGTCGGAGGACAGTAAGCAACCAGTGCAATTCCAGTTAGGTTCTTCTGGACTTTCCTTTCCTTCCCAGCCGCTCTTTGTACTCACGAGGGGAAAAGGCTGTCAGCGCAGGACGGGGCTGGGTGGGGTGTCGAGGCGGAGCGGTCAGGAGCCGGGATGGGCTCCGGGCTGGCAGGCCCACCCCTCGGCGGCAGCGCAGCAGAAGTCTGATGACTTATCCACGGACAAAGGGGTTTCAGTGTAAGACTTTGGACAAAACCCCACGTCTTCTTCCTCTGGGCCCACCCCGTGTCCAGACGCTTCCCGAGAATACGCAGAGCCTGCCCATGGGGTTGACTGAGGTCAGGGTTCGGCCTGGGAATCTCAGACCTCCTGCTTTCTTCTCCCCCGAGAAGCAAACTCATACTGAGGTCTCCCTCCCTCTCCATCTCCGATCCAGGAAGCCTAGACAGACGGGGAGACAGAGGACTGACGGCCACTGAGGACGAGGATGAGGCAGAGGGACCCACGGCTCCCCCAGGACCCCAGCCAGATGCACACAGGGCACGTGCTGCCCGGCCCATCTGGCTGCTATGCCCGCAGGCCAGAGGGCAGGGGGAGGTTTCAGGGAGCGCTGGCTGGAGCCCCCTTCCCCCACCCAACTGCAAGTAGCTGGAGGGACAGACGCCTCCCTCGTGAGGTGGCATCTCAGACGCGCTGGCAGCAATCACAGCCCCTGCTGTCCACCAGAAGTAACGGGGAATTGGTCCTGAGGCGATGGCCGGCGTGCCCATGGCACCTGCTCGGGCAGGGTCCAGCCGCGGGGTGGCCTCGGCTCCGGGAGTCCCCGAGTCCCTCGCCGTTGGTCCCGGTCCCCCGGGCAGTGAGCGAGGCTGCTGCCCAGCCCAGCCCAGCCGGTGATTCACGCCTCCCTGTGACTTCCTCCTTTTTCTTCTTCATTTTGTGATTCCGAAGGTGACTCTCCAGAACAACCCCCCCCCCCCCCCCCCCGGAAAGCCGGGACGGAAAGGGAAAGGCTGGGGACAGTGAGAAGGCAGGAAGGAAGTGCTGAGGGCGGGAAGGAAGGAGGAAGGAGAGCTAGACGGGAACAGGCCTGGGAACAGCTGCCCAGGAGAGAAGGGAAGAAAGGGACTCGGTGGCCTTAATCCTTCCAGCTCCACTGGGCGCTGGGGGGGACCGGCCCCCTTCGCAGATTGGGGGGCTGGCCCCAGGCCTCCCAGCGCTGAGACCCCGCAGACCCCCTTCCTAGGCTCCACGGCCTCTGCTGCCCACACACGCAGTCCACACGAGCACAGAACACGCCAGCCTGCGCCACAACCACGGCCACGTCACGGCTCCTGTGGTCCCCGCACCCCGCCAGGTCCTAGCACCCCACAGCTCTGCCATCGGCCACAGCCCCCCTCCTCTCCGGTTCGCCTCTGTCCAGGGCGCACTCGGCCTCAGCTAAACCCCAAAGAGAGAGTTGCCACCAGCAGGATTCCCTGATTCCCTCCCAAGGCCTTCCTGTGGGTTCCCTCGTCCAGCCTCCTCCTCTGGCCACGCTGTCCCTCCCCACACGGCTGGCCAAGCGGCCACGGCTCCGGGCACTCACCTCCGAGTTCGCAGCACCACCCACACCCCGGGCGCACTGTCCGCTCGCGGCGGGCCCTCCCACACCCTGCACCGGGGGCTGGTTTTCTCTCTTTCTTCCTTTTTCTCATCGGCACCGTGGGTGACATCCCCACCCTGCTGAACGGCCCGCGTACGTGAGCCCTGGCAACAAAGAGGGCAGCACCCCACGCGCTCTCCGTGGCCATGTCCCTTCCTGCCACACCGGCAGGTCCCAACACATCAGCCCCAGTGGTTTAGGACAGACCAGGGAGCGAGCAGGACCAACACCCTGAAGCTATGAAAATGGAAAATCAAAAAACAATCTAACCGACCACGAGAGATCAAACGCCTTCCGAACACCAGGGAATAGTAAACATGGTCACTTTAAACGAGTCCACAGCCACCAAGTCCCTCCACAGGGAGCTCGGCGCTAGGGAAGGGGAAGAGCTCCCCTCTGACTCAGCCTGCGTCCCCAGCACTGTCCAGGCCCCCACGTGATGCCTCTCTTCCAAAAGCAGAGAGTCCGCGAGGCCTCAGCCTTCAGAGCCCACTCCCGAAGGCAGGTGTATCTAACATGACTGGTATTCAGTCACCGGCAGCGACCCTCTGCACAGGGTCATCCATCCACCACACACGGCACAAGGACAATAAGCTAACAGGTGGGCCAGCTTTGTCTTCGTGCAGACGACAAAGAGCTGAGGGGACTCAACGGCCAAGGCCCTTGGTTTCCACTTGGTTTCATCTCACGGGACAGCTCGGCAGGACCTGACCACTGACACGAACCTCGAGACCAGCGGGTGGCTGAGATGGCGAAGTCGCGCACTGGCTGAGTGGAGGGCGAGCGTCCAGACGCGTGTCTCTGCGGGACGCACGGGGAAGGGGGTACTTCGGAGCGTCAGGTTCCGAGTCGTTCTCCAAGGACAATGGGTTTGCTCTGAGGATGCTCTCCCTGCTCATTCCCATAGGGACTATGTCAGATAACACGCGCTCGAAAATGGTGTGTTTAGGCGTTTTTTATTAACTCACCACTATATTAACCTATTGCATAGCAGTCATGTAGAAAGGCTACTACTTACAAATAAATTAAATAAATTATATCTTAACAAAAACATCTTACAGCCGAACAGATCTTGACATAATGCAGGAGAGTCAGAAAGGTAAGAAAGGTGTATAATTTGAGAATCTGGGGTGGGGAGGGGAATGCCCAATACTCTCTTTCTTTCTCTTTAGCTTCTTAGCCATTCGAGCTCTTACAGGCAATTCACGTGAAGAACTCCAGAGGTTAGGTGGGTGAGCACGCATTCAACTATTCAGTGCAAGTTACGTTTGTGCTTTGTACTAAAACATAACCTGGGGCGCATAGTCCTTTATTCTACCTTGGAAAAAAATACACAGGACGGAATATATCTTCAACGTGGTTAAACTAGAAGGGCACAGCCATCATGCTGCATACCTCCAGATTCCCGATGCTCTCTGTTCTAGCAACACAACGCCCACAAACTATAAAAATAATCCCTGCCAAAGCGACACTAGGTGGTTACATAAAATTCTTCTAAAGAGCAGGAAAATATTTCATCGGGCACAACTAACTAAAAACGCTGCTTACCTTGGAGAAAACGGTTTCACGTTTTCCACGACTGTGGAATTCCTTTCCCAGCATTAAGCCCAAGATAAGCAGGTGCTGAGCTCCAAGGAAATTTTGCAAAGCCTACGATTATTTACCGTCTCCAAATTATGCTTTTCAAACGTATTCCACAGAGCCAATCCCGGAAACTTCCCTAGCAGTTGCTGGCACCTTTGTATTTCAAAAGGACTGAACAGTTTCCGAGATCAATTTAAAGACCTAGGTATCCTTGGAGTGACGAAGGAAACACTGGCCAAGCCACAGAGTAACTAGTAGCCACAGAAACTCTCACCCTCGGCTGTCAGGAACCCTGCTGGAGAGAAAGGCATACCTTCTCAGCTGCATAACAGTCTTGAGACAGTTTAGAGTAAAATCGACTTCCAAGACAGAGAAAAGGACACATGCAAGCACGCCCACACCGGGGTCAGAATGCGCAACCCCCTTTACTTACATGCTGGACATCAACAGGAAAAGTT